AAAATCACACAGATTATTAAAACCATTAAAATTATTCAGGTAAATAAAAACATTAAAACACTAAGATCACACAAGGGATTCAAATATGAATTAACCACAGGGCATTAGAAATAGAGCTACAATCCTTCTGTTGTATGCAAATGTTGTTAAGTATTACAGTATTACAGATTTTCCACAGAAATATTTTAACACAGTATTTTCAGCCATTTAAAATAGCTGATGAGACTATTTACCTTGTAATGTCATGTTTTGGAATGTGAAAAAGGATCGTTGGTAGAAAGTATAATATACTTTGTGCCTCTAACTCCCTATGCTACAACCAGAGAATAAGAACATTACGGACCGCAACCACAGACATGTGAAGAACTTAAAATCACTTGATAAATTACCAAAATAAATGTATGAGCAATACTTTTGTTTTAAAAGGCAGAAAATTGCACTGAGCGTGACGTCACAGTGGTACAATGACATCATACTATTACAGGACGGAAGAGCATTACATTAGTGCCAGAACTTCCTGATATCATGGATGGGTTTACAAACAACTCCAGGTCTTTGACTGATAAGGAGCAATGTTGTAACATAGATAAAAGAGAAAAAGTACATTTGCATAATAGTTTAAATAGCTGTTTAGCTTTTTTCAGCTTTTTACTACATACAAGTTGTATCATAATACATAATTTAATTGAAAACTTGAGGTCATTGATTCCACTGTGTATGAAATTCAGGCAGTGAAAAGTGCTGAGTAGAGTCTGAGCCGCTCGTTCTCCTCCACTCACAGAACGAGCAGCGAACAGCCTGCGTCCTCTAGCCTCTACAGCGCTGCTTAACACTAGGGCTTCGACTTCAAAATTCGAATATAATTCTAAAATAAAAAATATATACATATTTGAACAAATATTAGACAACCCTTATAATTAGAAATTTATTTAATGACTGCAAATAAAATAGTTAGCTCCCAAAGGTTTCTCCGGGACGTGCTAGGCAGGTAACAGCTAAGCTAGCTAGCTGTTTCATGGTAACTTCCGGGTTTTTCGCGATCGGTTTTTGTCACTTTAAAACAGTATTTTTGTCATGAAAACGTTGACAGCAAATTCTGAAATCGTCCTTGCGTGTGTGTTAAGGATGTATATGTATACTGTATTGTCCGATTGACGTTTAATGGTGTTGATTGATAGATATGTAGTTGTTTATTGAGCGTGGCTAGCTCCGCTAGCTTCTCTACACAGACAAGTGTGCAGAAAAACTGCATGATGTAGTGACAGGCGCTGATAGCTTGTTGTACTTGCAGAGTAATGGCAGTATTTTACACACCTGAATTACAAACAAAGATTGCATTGGTGCTGCGGTCATTATTGGTTTGAGAGTTCTGTTATCAAGAAAAAATGATCGGAAGAATTGCATTCAAGTCAATGGAGTGCTGCCGCTGTGAGGAGCTGTATAATAAATTATAATTAAATATTAGAATATATTCTAATGTTTAAATTAATACATTCGGACGCGAAACTAATGGTATTCTTTTACTTATATATTGTGTTAGCAGTGCATTGCTTTAGTGCCATTTCATCAGTGATTTTTGCACAGCTTACAAGTTGCGCTAATGCTAATGTTAGCATATGTATCAGATCGCAAATAAAACTAGGTGGCTCCGTGTTATGAGAGCTTAGGGGAAATGAGAAGCCTGTGAGCGAGTTGGGGGGCGGTGCTAAACATTCAAACATTGCAGAAACGGGTATAGCGCCTTTAAGGCAAAAACACGGATGTAACATCTCTCTGTGATCTAGGACATATGCAGCAATTAGCTTCAGGATCTTTTCTAGATTCACTTCTCAGAATCAATTAATCATTTAGAAATGTTTTTTGGTTTACAGTTTAGACTGGGTAGCTCCTTCAGGAAGATTGTTCCAGATTTTAGGTGCATAGGTCTGGAATCCTGCCTCGCCATGTTTAGTCGCGACTCTAGGCACCAGCAGGAGGCCAGTCCCTGTGCTCCTCGTAGTCCAAGTCGGTTGATATGACACTAACATGTCACAGATGTTCTTTGGTGCGAGGCTGATAGGAAAATGTTGGGTGCCCCCGGCCATGTTCACAGTGCATTTCACGTGCAAATTCCCCTGATGCTACTGGCTGGTTAAATGATGGGTCAAATGCAGGTACCCAAAGAACTATATGGTGTTGTTTTGCGCCTTTTTAATTCAGTGAGGTAAAACTACATTGGTACTTTGATACACCCGTGCTACATCTGTTCTGCACACATGCACGGGGTGTGCTGATTCAAATCCATGTCTGGGGGACAGTCTGGAAAGTCCTCCCTAGTTATGTATAAAACAGTAATTGTTTGGAGTTCACCTTGAGCTGCTGTATTTTCAACCGGAGCTGGTTCAATATGCACTTTGATGCAAACTTTCCATTTTGATCCTGTTGTCGTGCGCAGAGATGGAAATGTCAGATTCTGCTTCCTGCAGGTTTGCACAGCAATTCTCTGAACACTTTATTAAGCCGAACTCAGATATGTTCACAGATTTCTTGACAACATGCTGTTACGAATATGGACAAGTCTATTAGTCCATGTTTGTAACATCACTTCTGTTTTTGGGCAATATAAAGTATTCATGTTTTGTTTTTTTTGTAGTAGCATATATTCTATTTTTTTATAAGTTAAAGATTAAGAGATCCTTTATTCGTCCCACAGTGGGGAAATGTCCATATTGCGCTCTTCTTGTTTCACAGTCCATCCTATGCACATGTGTGATAATAATTTGAGCGATACACCATACAACGCTCAATATTTGTGAGATTATAGCCAATTCTTGCATAGAGGTGAAGCTGCCCCTGCCCGCACTGTGACGGGCTGGGGCAGGCGGGAAAAAGTTTATTCTCGGACATGAGAATAAACTTTTTCCAACAATGGCAATCCGACACATCGACCCCTATATCCTCGATCCAGAATCAGAACCTAATTATCTATCTCACAGAAGTATATGTACGAGTTTGTAGCACATACAGATCGGGGCTCCGTGTTAGCATCTTTTATCGTTGGAATAACACTGGTTTCCAGACCAGCTTTTGAGTGTGTCCAGTTCCATGGTAACTGTAGTTCTGGAACAGTTTTAAGCGTGTAATATGGCACCTTTAAGCAATAATTCAAATCAAAACTCTAAAATCCATAGACTGCACATCCATAATTGCTACCACTCCAAGAACTTGAGCTCTTCTGTAGTGTTTCTCAGTCAAACACATACAGTATCAAAAGCCTCTCCAGCTGTCCACACTCCTTCCATTGGAACCCCCGTGGCTTGTTTAGCATTAGCTTTACCTTGATTCTGACTGATTATCTTAGCCACCCGCAGAGCCTTGAATATTCTTTTGGAACGTGTTTCTGATGCTACAACACGCTGATCAGATGTGTTGAAGAGTAAGGACATAAGATCCTCTTCAGATCTATAGCTGCGCTTCTCTCTGCCAAGATGCTAATCAGCTTACGTTTGCTCCACAGCACTTGTGTGTGGGACGGACTGAGGAACACAGAAGTGCATATTTAGCCTCATCTGATGCTCAATCTGTCGTTTAATAATTGCGCATTGTCATTAGACTTCAGTAGATTGCCATTTGACGTCTTGGTACACAGCTACAGTGTGTAGTTCATCTGCTTTTCTGCTGTGGTCAAAGCCCGTCGATCAGGCTGATTTTCTCTCTTGATCGGTAATTTTTTCTAACATGTAATACTGATCATCTTTCTCCGATGGTTCATTTTTTGTTATGAAATGTTCAAATAATAAAAAGCTCTGCAATCCATGTTGTGTAGTTCCTGGCTATAAAACAGTTTGGATCTATCAAATGCATTTTGGCCCTCTGTCACATCTATATTTCCGCTTTTTCAGACAGCAAGGTGGAAGAATCCATCAGGTTATTTTTAGTTTTCCCTAACTGACTCTTTCAGTTATGGAAAAACAATGTGTTACTCATACATTAAAAAGTTAGACACCCTAGCTTTAATTAAGCCTCTTGAAAGGGGAAAAAGTCCCTCATATTAACTGATTGAAATGCATCAGAATGTTGTTGATCAACTAATGTCTCAGCAAATTCCCCCGCATCCATGTCGATACAGATCCATGATTCACGAAGGCCGACCAATCAACTGTGCATAAGAAGAAGACTGTGTTTGCTAACTAACTCAGTAGCCCCTCTTCAATGTAATATTGAGAATGTTTGCACAAGTTGTTTACCAAAGCAGACTTCACAACAAGTCTCTACAAGTGTTTTCTGTTCAACTTTCTGGCCTGTTAAAACCACAGGAGACACAGCTTTTTCAGCAGAGATCCAAGCAATTGTGCCTCCTTCAAAAGAAGCTCACAGAAAAGAAAAGCCTTTCAGATATTACAAAAGCCTCTGTCCCGGCGGTTGTGTTTGGTGTTTGTTTAGAAGAACAGGACTGATGGGTGTGGCTCATCCCCCTGGTGGATAAACTCTGTCACAGCATTGTGAAGTCAAAAAATTGTTTTATTTTCCAGAGTAAGGCACGGTTGAGTTTAATTTGGTAAATGTAGGATTTATCTTTGCAAGCAAGGAACCTAACCCAATTGTTGGACAAATTACTCTCTAATCATGATGGATACAATTTCCAAATAAAACAATTACAAACAATTGAGCTTTTTTTCTGCACAATGGAAAAAGTGTCTTCTTGACAAAAATGGAAAGTTTTTTAGCAACTGTTGTGACAATGTGGCCCTTTAATGCAAAGAATATTTGAATATTTAGTTACATCTAGACAAAAAATGTATGTATTTTATGCAAGTATTATTTATTTTGGGAAAATAAAATGTCAGTATATATATTGTCATTGCAGTCCTGGACACCACTGTAGCAGCTAAACTGCACTATATATTAATTGTTAAGATTTTTACGAAACAAGCAGCTTATTAGAAAACAACACTTGTCTGAGACTTGTTATGTATATTCTACTGTGTAAAGTTTGTCCAATCCGCTCTGTTTGTTTGCAGAGGTGTGCGTGGTGGACTGCGGCCCGCGTGGCTCCTGCATCAGCGGCGTGTGCCAGTGCGAGGAGGGCTGGGCGGGACCCGAGTGCGAGCTGAGAGACTGTCACCCACGATGCATTGACCATGGAGTGTGCCGCGAGGGCAAGTGTGACTGCCACCAGGGCTGGACCGGGGAGCACTGCACCATCGGTGAGAGAGGGGGCACGCCCACAAACGAACATACACACACACCCAAATATGTACAAACACAAACATACACGCGAGGGCAATTGTAACTACCACCTGGGCCGGAGAGCACTACACAATCGGTAGGAGAGGGGCTGCACACGCACACAAACATACACACACACACACATGCAAGCACACACGCAAAAATGAATGCAAGGGCAAGATTGACTGCTACTAGGGCTGGACCAAGGTGCATAAATACACACTCAAGCACACACATGAGGGTAACAAACATAGATGCGCATAGACAAGCATATAGACTGCGCTACTGCAACGGCCGAAGTCATCACAATCTAGACTTTAAAGCAATGGTTCACAACTGGTTGGTGGGGACTCAAAAGTGGGTTGCGAGATGATTTAAAAAAATATATGTAATACTGTAGGCCCACTGCAAACAGAGTCATCAAAAATTAAGTACAATTCTTAAAATATCTCTTGTTTGTCTCTAGCAATTTAATGTAAATAAATGAGTCCATAAAGAGTTTTGGCTAGCAAGACGTATTCATAGTCTGTTGGAGATTTGTTTTTATGAATTTAGCTTACTATTATTCAATGCTTAAAACATAATAAACATTTAACCTATTTTATATAATAAATTCATTACTCATTTTAGAACTGAATTTGGCATGGTGTTGTAAATTGATGACTCTGCTCCAGTTGGAAACCCTTGGCTTAAAGCGCATGTAGGAAATGTTTGAACCACTTGGGCTAATACGGCTAGCTTGGGCCAAGTCTTGCTGATATGGCTACCTTGGACTAATGGTGGTTGTGTCTCTTGATTAGCCCAAGAGAGACAATCGAGAATCTGCCCACTGCACTACTTCTCTTACGAGAATATACGTAAAAGTAAATATTTTTGAAAAACTATGATTGTTCCAATAAAAAAGAATTCTGGAACCGCCATTTTCTCCAGTTCCGCCATTTTCTCCAATCCGGAAAAAAGTATAATCTCAAGAACTAATTTACCCCTGCAGGCATATACAGACTGCGCTACTGCGGAGACCGAAGACGTCACAATTGTCAAAGTTCAAAGCAATGGTTCACATCTGGTTGGTGGGGACTCAAAATAAGCAGAACATAGAAATTTTAACAAACTACAGTTTTTGGAAATTTATGGAGAAATACAATGCAGATTAGGACAGATTATCATCAGATCATTATTTATCCCCACCGCTGTCAAATTGTACAATAAGTCACTTAATGATGACCTGCACTGCAAACTTTTCACCGCTATAGTCTCTTTTTAATGCACACAATATACCTTTAATCTTATCTTTTGTTTTACCTCTTAACATGTCTGCACATTTCCTGTTGTTTGCACATTTACGTTCTATTCGCACACTATTTTCAATAATTGATCTTATTGAAGCCAAATGTAACATGTACATTTCTCCATTGTGAGATCAATAAAGCGTAATCTTATCTTATCAGATACTTATTTTGTGAATATAGGTTTGAGGAAAGTTCCACTAGCCTTGGGACAAAAATATATCAAAAACTTGGTCCTGCCTGCAATATTGAACTTTTGAATTTTTCGTGTGTAAAAAAACTAGTGCTGAGGAAAATGGTGGTTCCAAAGGAAGGTATTTCATCATACACTTTTATGATGATACATGATGAGCTTAACCTCTGCAAACACTTGGCAGAAGCGGTGTTTTGCCAATGGATACAACAGAAATAAACTACAATAGAGATAGGATATTTTCATTTCTTCTGAGTCAGCCCAAAGTCTTTAGTGCAATAGTTTGGCTCTCCTGATTCTCCTGACTTAATATTTCCTATCATGTTATAATAAAAGCCAAACATGCACAAATGAGGTGATTCAGAAACCAACGCACACACGTTATTATGAGATGTGAATAACTTGTTTTGTGATTTTTGTTCTTGTTCTGTTTGTTCCTCTGTCTTCTGTCTCATATCTGCTCTACTTTACAGGTAATGAAAAATGGCGTAAAAACACATATTGTGTATAAAGCACTTTCATATCTCTTTTTAAGGATTGAAGTAAAGCCTCTGTCACCTTTTGTTTTCCTTACATGCATATTTAGTGCAACACACACAGCTTTAACTGTTGTAACTACAGTAACAAGGCAAACTGCAACATTTTTGGTTTATTATGGCGTTATAAGCCTACTTAAACGTACTTACAATTATGTCAGTCCAAACATGCAAGCACAAGCCGCAGTAGTATTTTAATTATGTACACTATACATATACTGTACAGTATGTACTTTGTACTGTTTGGAATTTCTTCAGTAATAGCTAAAATTAGTTCTGTAGGTATCTCAAAAAGTCCATACATGATAATATTAAATATTAGAGTTGTCAATATGCAACAATAAAAAAGTGATTTAATTAAGAAGCATTGATCTTTGAGTACATATAGACTGGCCAAAAGAATACCCTTTTGCAATATTGTTGTTGGCCCTGTCCTGACAAAGACAAAACAGTGTATTGTGCTGAATTTGTATTGTGTAAAGATATACCAACTCAAAAAGTACACAAAAAGTCACAAAAATCCAATTCACCTGAGCCCTGTGTAATATACGTGCTGGGCCTCTGACAGGAAACACCAAATCAGACAAAGACACAGCACAGACAGAAAAGAGGAAGCATTTCACATGGACTTCTGATGCAAACAGAGATTTGAATTACTCTGTGGTAGATATATTTATATATATTCTCTTCATGACATATGGCAGCAGAGAAGCCTTGATCCTGCCGTAAACATGGTATTTGAGATCAGTACAGGACACAGAGTGACCGTAAAGCTGCAGCAGTGATGTCATCATATTGAACAAGTTCTATATTTGGCATAAACACATAAACATTAGATGTGTATACAATGGTTTCAAAAGTGTCCACTCTAGGTTTCAAAAATTTTCATTTTCAGTGTGTGGATTCATCGGCTCTGTGTGAACGAGAGCTAATTTAGACAAACTACTTCTATGATATGACTCAAATTGTCTCTGTGCATTAGAATAGAAAATACATGAATTGAAGTAATGATCAACAATATCACCTTGTGGTTGAAGTTGCACATTACATTCTGCTTGTTTAAATAAACAACAAACATATTGCTCTGAAAGGAGTTCATTGCATAAAGCAGGGCTATCACACATGCTAAACCTTTTTGTGGCCCGCAAAAGGATTTATCCAAATCTCTAACATATTTTTTGAGGGGGATTGGGGTTTAAGGTTTTAGGGTTTCAGGGTTTCAGGATTTTCCATAACATTGTGTGTGTTCTCTTGCAGCTGCAGCATCTTCTCTCCTCTTATTCTCCTCTTCCTCTCCCCCCCTCGTTCATATATCCAGGCTGCCGTGTTAGTCCAGGGCAAGTGTTTAGGGATGTGGCTGGAACTGCCCTTAACGAGCTTAACGAGAGGCCTTCCCTTTGGCCCCTATCACAGGTCGCATGCATTAACCCCGCCCTCAGCTCCATTCCCCAGTGTCACATCCTCAGAGCAAAGATGAGAATAATACTCAGTATGTACAGGATCTACCATTAGTGTGAACTGGAGAAAGTCACTCACAAGAATGACAAAAATGTCTATAGCTTGAATTAGAAATAGCGGTTTTCATATTTTGAAGAACACATTTGAATCACTATTTGTGTTATTAATATTTTTAACCTTAAACATAATTATAAGAATATTCACTCATTGGCTTCTCTTGTGGTCGAAATGGGACATTCCATTGAATCTAACACAATTTAAGCATAATTTGAACAAAAGCAATGCTTCTTTTAAAAGTTTTTCTAGTCTTCCCCCTGACAGAAACTTCACCTCATCCCTGACAGAGACTTCACCATGTGACAGCAGCCTCACTGTGCAAAAAAAAAAAAAAGTCATACTATACTCGGAATCATGCTGTCCTAGAGCTGCTTACAACTACACGATTGCAACATAATATGTTTAAAGCCCACAACAACACATATAGCGCCTATAGCCAAGGACTTTATCCAGCTGAGGCCGCAGCCCTGCAGCAGCTTGTGAGTCACAAACAGAAGAGTGAGCCAGGTGTTTGGATTGGACATGGAGCACTTTTGAATTCCCATGATGCCCGGTGGAAGAAGCAGTTTCCGGTCCTGGAGAGCTTTAGAAACAAAGGCAGAGATGATTGCATATTCATTGATGCAAACAACATTTAGTGTTTAATCTTCTTTCACAAATGGAACTGCCACAATGCATTTTATTTGGCTGAGTAGACCTGGAAAAGCAAGTGTTTTATCGCAGGGAAGGAGAGCAACAATGCAGAGCTGCCCTATAGCTTGCTAAATTTAATGAAGGTCATTTTGACTAAAAGGTTGGGGGAACATGTCTGTGCCACTAGTTCCTATCAATGTATCCTATTAAACTCCAGAAAAAAAAAACATATTTATAGTCATTATGTGCAGTGTATAATCTCCTCTGCTCTTGTTTCAAACTGTGCTGCAGAATTACCACCTCTTTTTCTCCAGGAACCAGCCACTTCCTCCCGTCTGCTCCCTCTTAATCGTGTTACACGGTCACACGTGAATGAAGGACTTCCGTGGTCATTCCTTTGTGATGCGCACCTCTATCCTGTTTCAAATGAAGGCTTAGCGCTGTCAGGCTTCTGATTCAAACACCGCTCCATGTGCATAACAAGGGTCCATGCACAAACAGAATATGCAGATGCAAAGAGTAAAGCTGTAGTTCATTGTTTGGAGCTTAAAACTGCAAAAAATAGTTACACTAAAATTACTTGATTTCTGACCGGAAATCAGAATGTAAAGACTATCAACTTTGCAATGAGATGAAAACAGCTCAATTTCTAATGTGGACTCCCCCCACTTTGTATGTGTTTTCTTGTGCCAAAGCTTCTCTCTGGTGTTAGCCTGTTAGCAGGGATACTTTTTACTAACCTAAAGAAGAAATATTACACATTATTCTTGGCCATCAAACACTATCATGAAACAATTTACTTGGTTATATCATATTTTAAAATGTAAAATGATATCTTAGAAAAAAAATAGTGATACAGTATGGTAGATATGGTAAATAGTAAATGGTTTCCTCCTGTAATTCCGTATGCTACCACTTGTTTTTTTTCTAGCTGCAAAAACTGCCATGTGATTGGAAAGGTTGTAATTTTGACTTAAATTAGCCAAAAACTAAATTATGGGCAAGAAAACTGCGCAGCTCTTTGTTAGTATGATGTCATTCTACCACTATGACATCATACTATTAGAGGACTGAAAAAGGAGGGGTGGAGTTACACACAGTTACAAGTTGTTGATATTAGTATGGATTAATCTAAAAATAACTATTGAGCTGTTTTTGATGAGGGCAAATTATAATATGGGTGGAAGCTAAAACTACTTTAACCCTTGCCCTAGATCAGACTGTACAGGTTAATGTATATTGATGTTTATCAAATATTATGAATGAATGATGATTCTAATTATTGTATGTGTTGTTTAGTTAAATCACAAAGCCAACAGAAAAAACCCACATGACAGACTCCCATTTGAATGGCGATGAAGGCACCACAATAAGTGTGAGTGTATGAACAGTTAGATTTTGACTTCTGCCTCTAACATTATTAGCTAAGTTAGCTAATCACATTTTACAAAATATACCGTGGTATATTGCTACTGTAAGCATAAATGTATCCGGGATGCAAAGAACCCACAAACTGTCAATGTTTCAAGCTGCCCAAAAAGGAGTATGTTGTGGCCATATGGTGGAGACATAAATCTAACACAATTAAAGCATCGTCTTCCCCCTGATCTTCTAACTGTGACAGACAATCAACTCCACTACATCACTGAACCATTTCTCCTGTTTCTAACTGCAACATCTTATTCCACAAATGCTTTATAAAAGGACTTGGCCTGGTCTTCATGTGTCCTACTGTACCCTAATGAGTTTTTCCCATTTGCAGCGTGCAGCAGCGTGTCTTTTGTCTTCCTCTCCAAACAGGCTCTGTCCTTGTAGTTTCCATGTGCCTAACACTCCCTTGTATCTCCCATGTCTTATTCCTGTCTGCTCCCATCTCTCTCTCTTCTCCGGCTCCCTATCGGCTTACATATAGCCCTGGATTCTCGAGTATCAGGTAAAAAAATACAATTCGTTTTGCTTGAGAATGGTTTTTTTGTCTTTTGATCCAACATTTATTATGGGGATGCGCTGATCCGTGTTCCGTCTGCCATGCCACTGGGCCGACATCGCAGCGTGGATTAAATATTGTCCATGTATATTAACTCAAACGTTGGCACAAAGGCAGCCGCTGAGTATTACTATGGCCAATGTGAAGTCTGGAGCTTTGGGTGTCAAACTTTTTTAAAGGAGTCTGTGGAAAAATCCTATCTTGTTTTCTCAAATAGCTGTGATACCTGTTTATTCACTAGACTGTGAATGTGAGCTTCCCTCTTCGCCGACAAATTCTACTCAGAAAGTGAGAATGTGCTTGAGTCTGGAAGGATTTCACTTCCATTGGTATATGGTGCCTTTATCATCTAGTCTTCAAATGTATGTTTGATCCTAGTTCCATTTGTTCTATTGTTTTTGAAATGTGAACAATGATAACCAACAAAGTCAGTACCCTGGTAGAACATGGTTCAAAGGTTCTGTGAAAGTTTCTTTTGATGTTATACTGTAAAGGTTTCTCAAACTTCAATCTTAAATTGTAAAGCAAATGAAAAGCTTGCTTTATTCTGCGGTGAGTTGTGCTCTGCTAAGTATATTAAAAAGAGTATTGAAGCGTCGGATGCATATACACATTGTTACAATTACTAGTAGTAAACCTAGTTAGATTGTTCTAGTTTGTTGGTTCTTTTATTTATTATGCAGCACTGTGTTAACTCTTCCGTCTTGGAATTGTGCTACATAAATAAATTGGATATGGAAGTGATTGTCAGCCACCACATGTGTTGCTCGGCAGTGCGCGTACCTTTAACAAACTGGCACCTGATTGGTTTTGTGTTTGCTGTAAGACGCCCTTGGAATTCCAAATATGGAACTTGGCTCCAGAGTGGCTGCTGCAACCTTGCTTGTTTCAATTGGCTTCATTTTGTTGGAAACAAACTCGAGGAACGACATCACACACCAGGATGGAAAAGCATTTGTCCACAGATTAAGGTCAGCTTGTTTTGGTGCTATTGGACAAAACACTTCAGTTGTGTACATTAGTGTAGGTTTGTGAGCGGGACAAGTACATGGATTTAGGATCAAGATGGAAATAAACAGCACTTTGTGACAAAATATAAAGCTCTAAAGTTCCATACTTGACGCCCTTGACTCGCGTGTTGGTGCAAAGGCTCAGCATGAGCGCGGCCGGATCAGCGCCTCCCCGCTCTGTTCTCAAAGGTTCTGAGAAGTAAGTAGTCCCATGAAACCGGGTGAACGGCTCGCTCCTCTCGCACCTCCTGACGTTTAGCAGTAGCAACTGTTTCTACCTCTTTTGAACATGTCGGCAGGTGATTAGCTTGGCGGCAGCAGCAGACTTCGTTCGTCCACATTTTGTTCAAGTCAATGTTGTTTTGTCAGTCTTAGCACCGCAAGAGATAAGTAATTTTCTTTTCCAAATGTTTCCCTTCCCGCGGTTGTGTAAAAGGAGCGGTCAAGATAGGATATAAAGGTAATTGAACCACTATACTATATATACCCACGGGAGATTGTCACCGGCAATCCCCTCCTGCTCTCTGTTCCCTAGCACGGCGTTTATACACTTGTCCGTCCCAGTCGCCATGATGTTGTTCCCTTGTCTGATTCCTTCTCTGTGTCTGCTCAGATTAAACGCCCCCTAGTGGTGTGGTTTAGTTGTGTTTTTTCCACCCTCCACTACACAAGGAATGCCACCCAGCAGCGATTGCTCTGTTCTTTGTTAATGTATAAACTCGAGACCCCTTCTCCCTTTATTTACATACAGACGTCCCCTATCCTTTGATGTCCCTGTTTCTTCACATGAGTTATACTATGTATAAGCGCCGGACAGGCTATGTATAGAAGTACATGTGTTCTCTGGTGAAAACGCTGTATGCGTACGTCCTTGAAGGCACACTGTGGGAGAATTACATTAGCACAAGAAAGAGCTGCTCTGTGATCAGAGCCCTGGTTTAGTTTAGCGGTTGTTTCACCTATGCTAAAGGAGAATGCAATGAAGTCAACCATATCTTTAGTGTGAAACAAATATTATATTATATTAACAAAATACCAAAACCACATAATAAACAGTTTTGAAAAGGGATATGACATGATGTCAGTTGTGCAATAAAAGGGTTTCCAAAAGTCAAGAAATGGCACCGACTCTGTAGGGGTCATTAAAATCTGTTCTTATGTGATACATGCAAGAAGAGTGGATTGTCCTTTACACCTGATGACAATCAATTAACTGCAATGTTGTCTCCAGTAAACTCCAGAGTGAGACATTTTCTACACAACGGGTAAAAGGATTTATATAACCTTGTAGGTGAAGCAGATGTGTAGACTCTCTCTTCTGAGTGTGACACCGCCGCCAGCTAATATCTTAGTCTTAGAGTAGATTGTAGTCATCTGCCTCACTCAGGCTGCTGTGGTAGCAGTGTGTGCAGAGGACAGTCACAGACTTTGAGCGCTGCACTTGTGAGATCACTGCTGGGTGCAGTTGATAACTCAGCGTTTGTAAAAGAACGAGGATGAAGGGGACTAAAGAAGGCTGGGGGTCTTGTAGAAATAGGCCCCTGAGGTCATTCTGATATGCTCTCCTATCTTTTGCTTTAGAGTTCTTGCAGCCTATAGAGCTGTGTGAACTCATTTTGTTCTAACATATGTATTAACTTGACTGCAGTGGCTCTATTAATTCCAAATAAATAAGATGAGCTCAGACTGCACAGAGAGCTCTCAGAGCTGCCAGTTCTTTTACTGACCAAAGCCCAGAGCAGTTTCTTACCTAATGAATTTGTATGGCGTTAAAACCATATTGTTCACAGGCACAGGAGGGACAGATTCTCAGTGTTCAGTATAAACACCATGGCCAGACAATAAAATGGGCCAGTGTCTAGAGCATGGATGTGTTATATTACCTGGATATAGGGTATTGCTACCTTAAACCATCTCCAGCATGGACAAGGGGCCATTCGAGGCACTGCAGATGGGCTAGAAGGACATTTTTCCATGTAGACATTATTGTGTACTTGGATCGTCCTCAGCTGACAGGGAATCTGCAGCTTTCATGTCTGGTCTGTGAAAGGCAGTATATAAATAAAGATTAATTACTTACTTACTTACTTCACAAAGATCGGATTTTTTTTGTCATCCTGGTTTTCTATAAATCCACAGTTAGGTGTAACGCTCTCTCATCCCGCTTTAAACAGCAGTGCTTTGATTGGTTAGAACGCTCATGTGCAGTGAATGAGCGCCCGTCAACACCCATTAGAACGCTCACATGTTACACTGGTCCTGTAGATGTCAAACCACGGTGCACCTACTGCACAAGACTTGGAGAACTAGTGCTGGTCAAAATGCATCACCCCTGCTAATGTTTGGGACGTACATGGTACGAGCATGCGTTAATGAGCACTGGCCATTGATTTGAATGGGCATTGCAATCAGCAAAAAATCTTCCTAGTGTGTGTTTTGGGACGTACGAGGCAGATATATCGTTTTGCGTAAAGCCACATTCACTTCTGTGTGCTTTGCCTCAGCTGTGACTGATACTCATGTGAAACAACAACCTCCTCCCCCCTCCCTGGTCCTGTCAGAACTGTACTGTATGTCCTCCTATCATCTCTGATTGTCCCCCTTTGGAAGCCCCTCCACTTATGTCTGTAGTGCTGATGCGTACGCAGCGCGCTCTGTCTGACACGGACATGATGTGTTGACAGACGGCTGCCCGGGGCTGTGCAACAACAACGGGAGGTGTGTCCTGGACCAGAACGTGTGGCACTGCATCTGCCAGTCAGGCTGGAGGGGTCTGGGCTGCGACGTAGCTACGGAGACACTCTGCTCCGATGGGAAGGATAACGAGGGCGGTGAGTTGCAGAGATAGAGACGTGTGTGCTAACATATAGCGCAGGGAGAAGTAATGACAATGTGTATTCTAGAGAGTTAAATGCTGAAGTACTGCTAATGTACCTAAGAGAGGTGTTAGGAGATTCACCAGTATCCCTCATGGTCCATGAAAAGTTGAAGACATGTTTGAGTACCTGCTTTATCCTCCTATTTTGTGTGGTCGGAATATGTCCATTTTCTAACCTATTCCCAAACACATGTAAAGCTGAAATATGTGTCATGGTCATGAGACGTCAAGATCATTAACAGATTTTGAGTTTCTTCCACAAAGGGCTGGGCCCTGCCCTAAAAATAAGGAGGACCTCGGAGTAGAGCCACTGCTCAATCATGAACATATTTTCAACAACCTGCAGCAGTCAATAATGTAGCTGTCTCATTTTTTCCACAAAGTACTTAATTGACAATGCATTTTATAGATGTAAAAACGGATGTAATTAAATTTGAAATACATAAAAACTACCTCTGTCATTAAACTATTTACAAATGCATTACTAACGTTACATGACATTACATATACAGTACATGCAAGTATTTGTATTGTATTTCCACCCTCAAAAATTACTTCTCAACCGTTTCCGCAGCGCTCTAGTGTTAAAAAAATGGGGGAAATGTGCTTTGATGTGGTCTATGTGTTAGCAAAAACAAACAAAACAAATCAATCATACATAATACATCAGTGGGAAGGATATGCAAATGTGGCCACAGCAGATTCTCAAACAGCGTGCAGAGGAATGTACTGCGCATCGATTAGAAAGCACTTAACGAGGAGGTAAATGTGAGCCGTGAGCTCTTGCTGAGGTAAGATGTCGTCTATGTGTCTAATTATGAATGTGATGTCAGTATTCTAGGACACATGCAGTTGGGTCGTTATTCAATAATCCATTTAAAGGACATGTATGATACAAAATCTTCACCTTCGCGTAGGCCTAGAATAATAAATTGGTAAATATCATGGCACAGAGGCTTAAGGGGTACCACTTATGCCTCACAGCAAGAAGGTTCAGTCCCCGGGCCAAAACGTGCACTAAATGTAAAATCCTACAGTTCGGGGGCCTCATGTATAAACAAATGCGTGTACGCTTAGTGGCCAGTAGAGGCGCACATCACACAGACCTCTGAGTGATAAAAGCCTGCATCCTATCATGCATCGACAGCTGGTTATAAGGCCTAGGCACATGGCCCGGCCCTCTTTGCAAGACATGGAATTAAACCGGCCTTTGTAACACTGTGATGCAGTTCCTTTTTCTCTATTTAAAGAAGCTATACCCAATTTATTTTCTAATGACTTCATAAAAGTGCGTTTTACTAGATACAAGTTGTATTAAAATCCGTAATTTAATAAAAACTTGAGCTCATTGATTCAGCTTGTGTATGAATCAATGAGCTCAAGAACTATGAGCAAATAGCCTGCGTCCTCTAGCCTCTACAGCGCTGGTGGTAAACACAGCAGCATATTAGCAAAAAGTGGCTTCTTCCTCTGTCTGTAACTGCATGCACAGCAAAACAGCCTGAACGACTCAACAGTGAGGAAGAAAAGAGAAAACTAAAGCGAAAAAATTATCAAAGAAGAGATCAGGCCCTGGTGAACATAAGTTAGCTTACCGTTAGCTTACATGGTATCCTCTGGAGAGATCTTGACTATCTATGCTCGGACATTTGGACGCAAAACTAGCGGTAATCTTTCAGTTTTATATTTTGTTAGCAGCATGTTGCTTTTGTACCATTTCATCAGTGATTGTTGCACAGCTTACACAAAGTTGCGCTAATGCTAATGTTAGCATACATATCAGATTGCAAATAAAACTAGATAGCTGCGTGGGATGAGAGCGTAGGGGAAATGAGAAGCCTGCGAGCGTGTTGGGAGGCGGTGCTAAACATTCAAACTGAGAACAACCTAGGAGAAACAGGTATAGCTCCTTTAAACCACGTGAGAGATGCCAAAAGTTCATATATTTACATGGGTGGGGTGCAACACAGCTCCGGGTCTGCATTTGGTAGCAGTGTTTTTGTATCCTTTGACTCCTACACCTTTATCAAACATCACATTACATTTCCTCTTTTCCTATCTCCACGACTTAAAGCATAAGGCAGAGAAGTGACATAATACTCTTTACATTAGCAAAAGCCTCGAGCGTTATGATAATCTCTGGCCCTTGATAGACTCTTCATTTAGCGGAGTAGGTCTCGGTCAAATCAGGTCTGACACCTGGCCTGGGACTGGTCTTTAGAGCCCAGCCTTCAGCTCACATTAGTGCTGCTTTGTGCCATCGGGGAGCGCTGGTGCGTACCGTGGGCGCACACTCATCAGCAGAAAAGGAACATGAGTCTGTACACTGGGCCCTCTGCGAGTCCTGCTTTAAACTATTCTTTATCTGACCAACTGGAATGATAACAGTTGGTTACAATTGTGTTGTTCTGCCGTGGGTTTATTCAATGTGAAATATGTCTCTTATAAAGTTTCATAACAAAGCAAACATAACGATTACACATAAACATAAAGATAACACAAGATGAAGATACAAAGAAAGAGGTCACTCACTTGCAAACAGTTATTTCTGATCTGTGTTTTATAGATCTGATCTCATACATAATTATTCAACACATATTTGAAGGACACATTTTGTACAATTGGAAGCTAATATTTAGAAACTTTAAATGGAAAATGTTGCATTTCTTGGTTTTGTATTTAAAACAATATTACTAAAAGCTTCATGAACCACTCTCAAATCAACTTTGGATGAGTAAATACCTAGAGAAAACTTTGTTGTGATCTGTAAATGTTATAAAATGCAGGAGGGTCTAAGGACGGTGATGATCCAGGACATTTATGGACATTTTATTAACATGTATGGACATTGGTCATCCCGTTCACTATAGACCAATTTCTCCTGTTTGTTTGTTTTCATTGCATTTCCTGTGTTTTCTCTGATCTCTTGATGAATTAAAAACTTAGTTAAGTCCTCTGAGATGACTGCTGTTGTAATTTAAAACACTATTCAGCAGATTTAAATGTGCTTGTTTCATTTGCCAATCTGTCTGGGCTCCTCTCTCTGCAGATGGCCTGGTGGACTGCATGGACCCAGACTGCTGCTCTCAGATGGCTTGTCAGGGGCAGCCATACTGCCGCGGCTCGCCGGACCCCTCTATTATGGCGGCACAGCTCCAGAGCTCCGCCTCCTCACTACTACCCGCCTCCAAGGGCTTCTATGAGCGTGTGAGCTTCCTCATCGGCCCTGGAGGAAGCCATGTTATCAGCTTCGACAACCCCTTTAATGCCAGGTCAGAATCAGAATTACTATTGTTTTTTGTAGGTTTCAAATTATCATTTTTATTTTTTTTTCTGCCGAAAATTTCAAATTTTAAAAAACTATTGGAGCCAGACATTCATGTAAGTACACGGAGTTCAGATGAGTGATAGATCTCTATGAGGCAAGCCTAAAACTCTCTTGGAGCCTTGCTCATGATGGTTGAATTGCCCTTTAATTTTAGTATTCAAACTAGTCCTTGTTTTTTTATTACACAGACTTCCACCGTGTCATTTCCCAATCTATATATATAATATAATCCATTAAAAAAAGTTAACAAGGCTATTTTTCATCCGTTGTCCCTGGACAGATTTAAAATGTCAACCTAAAAGAAAACACAAACACAAAATAACAGTGCACATTTACCATTGATATACAATCAGTTAAAAGTTAGCGTTGACATGTCTGTTTTGTGATGAACCATGATTTGAGATGAGTTTTGAACAGATTGTATGAGGCCAGCTCTCTGATGTTTGATGGGACTGTGTTCCTGAGATGCCCTCACAGAGAAGGCACTCTGGCTGAAGGCGCTCTTCCGGAGTGGGATTACACAGTCCCTACGGGCGGCCCCCCTGGTTACCCTGTGTGTGGTGTTTCTGACCGTGATAAATTGATTGAGTGGAGGTGAAGATGAACCATGAATGATCTTGTAAATAAGACAGAGATTAGAGTATTTGATGAAATTTGTCCAATTTTGAAGGTGGTGTTTTTGCAAAATGGAACAGTGGTGAAATCTGTTTTTTGTCCAGTATCTTAAGTGTTTCCTTGTATAAAGATTCTATTGGTTTTAGGGATGTTTTGTTTGCCTGAGACCATGTGGTTAAGCAGTATGTAATGTGGGACAGAACCATAGAAAACATGAATAATCTTGCAGACTGAAGTGTTAAGTTGGATCTAATGAACCGGAAATTAGCTAGGTTGAACTTGACTTTAGTGGAAATGTTTTTTATGTGAGATTTGAATGTCAGCTTTGAGTCTATTGTTACTCCCAGATATTTGTATTCTATTTGTATTATTCTATTCTATTTGTATTCTATACTAGCTAAGGCTGGTGATATATAGAAGCTGTCCATGTACACCTCATGCCCTTTCCCAGTGTGCCGGGCAAGCAGCTGACGGACAATAATGTGTTGCTCCTAAATTGTCCTCATCAGTTGTATTTTTGCCACTGTAGAAGCACCACTCTATTACATAAATCACTCAAGACAAATGCTTTATAGCCATATTTATCAGGTTTTTTGGGGTTGAACTTCCCCTGAATGCAACTGTCATTTCATCCAAGGAAAGAACACATGATAGTGTTGGCCAAAACCTTTCAACAAGCCCCATGCTCAAGTGAAGTGACACTACATTTACCCATGCCCCCACGACCACGGCCCCTTCTTGGTGTTCAAAGAATGCTCCCCCCATCCACGTTGAGATGAAGCATCTGCTGTACTGTGGGCAGATTGTGGATTATGACGCGCTGTTTTGCCGTCACTACTACGTGCTTCAGTACTTCAAGTACTTCATCAACAGTAAAACAACCTCTTTTCATTGTGAATGAATGAAAAATTATCTTTCGCTATGTTCTGCTCTCGCTGCGCCTAAGGGTGTTATACAAACTCATTTTACTCAAAAACTTTTCATATAACCACGCCCACACATGCTGCTCATATTACAGGCACACATGTCTGCCATCTCCTGGTGAAAAGTATTAACAAGACTCGACGCCAGCCTGTTTTAGTGTTGCTTGCTTATTGCGACTTTGGTCCTTTAAAGGGTTAAAGGTAAAAGTCTTCACCGTTTTTTGTTCCACGCCATGGCGAATAACGCCTTCGTCACTCCACACGCTTAGACCTACAGATCTGAGACTCCATCCATCCATACATTTTCGTCCCCTTAATCCATTTCTGGGTTTGGGGGGTGGCAGTCAGAGCTGCACCCAGTACACAGAGCACCAGCCCCTCACTGATCCTCCTGCAGGTGGTGAGTCCACAGGAGCGATCTGAGACTCACTATCACTAATATTAGGTTATGGCCTGAACACAATGGCATCGAAATCATACACTCACAAACTCTAAAGTGCCACCTGTCTGTGATGGGGCATTTGTGCTTTGATCAACCCAAAAATCAGAGTATAATCTCTGAACTAAGACGACCAAAACATTACAAAACTTCCCACACCTGACCACTTGGGGCGCCCTGAAATATTTGAATTAGCCTTTTGCAGCAAAATGTTTGTCCGATGAGGCTAGAAAATAATTCACCAATACCATACCCTGAACATAACAATATGCAACACACAACTGTGAGTGCAACAGCACCACCTACAGGCAGTAGGTGGTTCATACTCGTCCTTGGTTTTTCATCACACAGACTTCTCCATCTGAACGGTATAAAGTTATATAATCCCTTAAGCAAAAATGTCATCACCGTTTTCATGCCAGGCAGCAGTGAATTTCACAAGGTTTTATGACATTAGGGCCGCAATACCCAACCTGACCACCGCTGGCGCACCCTTTTCTGAATAAAACACATTCTGAATTTGCTTGGGTTCTGTCCCTGCTGAGTATACTTGGTTAAATTCTGCACTGTGACTCACGCAGCTGGGGTTCGATTACAGGCTGGAAACTTTTGTGTTAAGGTTAGGGTTAGTTGGTTAGAGATTGTTTTATGCTCTATTTACATTATGACTGTTTCATAACTGTGGTAAACGTAATAGTGTGAAAACACACACTCAATATGAACTCTGGAGAGCCATGTACAGGATATTCCAATCTGCACTAAATTCGCAGGGTCAAATCTTTACTTCCATACGAGCAACATATTATACTATGCAGAGGGTGCATGTCCCATGGAAGACCACTAGGGGTGCACTGGATCCTTTAAATTTGCTTTTTTTGTGTGAAAATCTGGTCTGATCAGGCTGCAGATTTATTGGCAAGTACACCGCATGGCGCTTATGGGACTGGCTGTAAGCAACAGGAAGTCACAAACAGGTGAGCACGCTGTGGCGGGGTGCTGTTACACGTGTCATTGAGTGCTATGAGCCCAGAGAACACTCTGGGACCATGTAGGGCATGCTGTGAGCCCAGAGCACAATGTAAGTTCAGACCACGAGATTGGAACGAAACCAGACTATGTTCCGAAAGATGGTGCTGTGTTTTACTGGGTTTCCACCAGTGGGGGCGGGTCCCGGCTCAAAAGTGGCCAAAATAGCGGGCGCTGACATGCTTGCAATACCACACCAGGCCAGAGGGCTGGACCCGGAAATGGAATTATTCAATGCAAATGTACGTATCTCAAAATGTACGTATCTCAAAAACGTTGGATCTTGGCCCAAAGCTCCGTTCCACATGTGTGTCAATGCTGAGGGGAGTGAATTTTTTTGGATCAGTCTAGTTTACTTGCTGTGAATTTTTGAAGTCACTCGTTTAAATGAATGGGGCTAGTGCCGGCTGACGCATGCGCAGATGCGTTTGTTCACATTTTCCAGCCCGCTGCCATATTGAAAGACTCCATGAAAGCCCAATTTTTGGCCCATTAGTTAGAACGGCGGAGATAGGCGTGACATAGTCTATGGTTTACATCCTATCTCAACGTGTCATAGATCCTCTGAGCGCCCCCTACTGGCTCACGAGAGAACAAAGTCCTATTGCATATGTACAGACTCTCTTATCTCCTTCATGTGCTGTTGTTTGTCTGGGTGTGTGATGTCTCAACAGAGCCATTATAATAGTATTCTATTCTAAACCCATTCATTTACAAGCCCTAAACACAAATTCCCGTCCGAACAATTCATTTCACTGAAAATAAATGTGTCTTTTCAAAGGTCTGGGTCTTGCTTTACTGCTCCGCTCTGAATACACAATCGATGCTGAGACTCCATCTAAACCATCCGAGGTGCTTTTTAGCCGCTGACCGACAAGTGATTGCGGCTGTGTGCGCAGGGTTTGTGGAACATTTCCTCTGATAGTTTAATAGTAATCCCTATGTAAATATCATGCTTTGGTGAAAGTATAGAATGAGGAAGTCCCTCTCTCCCAGGCATTCATAATCTCTTCCTCATTGTCTACAGCTTACTGACGATTTCATGTCTGGCTCTGGCATTAGCTGGGCGCCCTCGAATAGTAATTTTATCTTGGTGTGGAAATAAGTTTTATATTCAGAAATATAGGCTGTGCAAATATGTCCAACCAAGATGGGGTGAAATGACGATGTCTCTTTCCAGACAAACAGCAGAAATACAGACCGACAACGGAATGCGACGGATGGAAACAAGCCTTCATGGCTAAATCTGGCATATTTACATGAATACATGTGGAATAATGTGCCCTATCTAAATGAAATGAGCAAATAAATAAATACATGCTTTTGGTTCCGTTTATTTAAATATCATTCTTCTATTTTGCCACTGTCTTTCTCAACATATTTCCACAACGTTATTGGGCATAAATTACACATTGATAGACATTCAGTCCAATAAATGGCTTGGACAGTTACACCAACTACACCTTCAAGGAGAACATGAATGGACGGTGCCCAAACTAAACATTTACTTGTGATATTTAGTGTGGTGTTAGCCAGGATATAATCAATCAATCAAGAAATCAAAAAGTTTATTTCAAGCAAACAATGTTGCTAGTAAACTCTTTAACATGGTTAAAAGCTCAAAGATTATATATTGTCCTGATATATGATCACGTTCATAGCTAGGCCACTGCTACAGCTAACCTCAACATTTGAATTTCCAGTGAGACAATAGTATCAAAAGTCAGCTTGTAAATTTGTACTTTGACTCAAATCTATCGGGGGTTGTGTTGGTGGTGTGTGGACTGAATAATGCAGGAGCATGACGGCTTCCAAACCACATGGATCTGATGTCTGACAGCGCAGAGATGGAACTGTTAGAGGTCATTCTTACAATCTCGTTTTTTCCACTTCACAAAAGCCCATTTCACGGTGCACTCCCGTTTCATAAGACCACGCAAA